GCTGCTTTGCTAGGCACACTCTCAGGGAACCAGATTGGAAGTGGAGCAGCTAGGGCTCAAACACATGTTGGATGCCAGCATTGCAGGTGGCAGCTCAACCCGGTGTGCCGAGGCGCTGGCCCCCTAATTCGGTGAACTTTAATTGGCGCCTCTCCTTCTATGTTCTTTTCTTTCATTTCCTGCTCTGTTGATCTCCATTTTCTTCTTTCTACTTTCTCTCTGTCACAATTTCTTCCACCTTTGGGTCTCTTGATTGTCACATCTGGCCTCTCCTCTGAGTTTAAGAGTTGCATGTTTTGTCATGCGTGTGTGTGTGTGTGTGTCTGTCTGTGTGTGTGTGTGGGGGGGTGGTTAGCCTACTTGTTAAGACACAGGAGGATGCCCTTGTCTCGTGTTAGGGTAGCTGGGTTTGACCCCTGACTGCAGCTCCTCATCAGTCTTCTGCTAATGCAGCAAGTGGCCAGGTACCTGTCACCTACACAGGAGACCAGGATTCTGTGTTTAGTGCCTGGCTGCTAGCTCTGGCCCAGCCCTGGCAAAAAATAAGCTGGTAGATGAGAGATTTCTTTCTGCCCCTCTTTCTTTCAAATAAATAAATCTGCATGTTCAACAGCAGCTGGGGAGTAGGGGAGGGGCTCTTTGCACATGTACCATTTGCACTGTTAATTTTGCATGTTCTAAGGAAAATGCATCTTTTTAAACCAAACTTGCCTTTTCAGGATTTCCCTTGTTGCACGGATGACACTTTCTGAAGTCTGATCCTTCTAGACCTGCAAGAGACCTCAACAGGTCCTGCTTTCCAGGCCCCTGTCCCCACCACTGCTGCTGCCTTTGCCTTCCTCCTTGCTTCTCATGGCTGTCATTTTGGCTCTAGCCCTGTACACCCAAGGCCTCTGAGCAGTCTGCCTGCAGGGGCCTCTGCATGGCCTGCCTGTGTTGCTCTCCAGTCTGTCAGTCACCACAGGCTCCTCTATCCTGGCCCAGGGTTGGGGCCCTCACTTTCCTGCCCGGGCACTACTACAGTCATCATCACTGCCTGCTTCTCCCAACCCCCAGTCCATTGTGGGTGTCTGCTCAGCTTTTCCTGGGCTCCTCGGGTATCTATGCTCTGCAAACCTTCTCTGTGCTCCCTACCCCTGTCTCAGTCTCACCCTTGCCCAGCGGACGGGAAACACACACAGCCCGCCCCCTCTCTCCCAGCCTCTCCGCCGCTGTCAGAGCCCAGGGTGAGATGGGGCTTCCCTCCTCGAGTGCCTTTTCCCATTGAACTTGTGTGGAATACTGCGTCCTTGCCATATCTCTTCCTTCTGGATCACAAATCCCTGCAGCAGAGGGAGCAGAGCAGTGGTGGGCTCTACACCTGCTTGGGTCATGGCCTCGCTGAGGTTGTGGCCCTTAAGCCCATTTGGCAGCTCTTCAGCTTCCTCCCTGGGCAGAGGGAACATCTGCATGTCAGGAAAAATCAATTTGGAGGAAGAAGGAAGAAAAATGTTTTACTTTCTAGGACATGGGGCTGAGAGCCTTGCCTGCCGGGAAGTGGGTGTGTTTGATTCTGTGTGTGGGTGTGGGTGTGGGGCAGGTGTGTGGCTCTGTGAGTGACTGTGTCTATGTGCATGGGAGGGTGTGGTTGTGGAGCATGCATGACTGGGACTCTGTGTGTATGTGTGTGTGCAAGGGGGCATGCTGGTGTGTGCATGAACACGGAGTGTGTGTGTGTGTGTGTGTGTGTGTGTGTGTGTGTATGTGAGGGGAGTTCATGTATTTTCAAGGTGAAACTAGGATATGTATGTGTGTATTGTTGGTGTGTGATGTGTGGAAGGGACCACAGCAGAAGTAGGCACACGCAAGGTGTGTATGTTGGGGGGAGGGAGAGCTGCTGTGTAGTCCTGGACATCTTGTCAAAGGACAGCTGTCCTCTCCTGATTTATGTGGGCAATTAACTACAGAAACTGCCCAACAAGCAGAAAATATAGTGATAGAGCGATAAAAGCAAATGGCAGGTGCACGGCTAGGCTATAAAAAGGAGTCATTCATCCCAAACCTTTTGAGGGGAAGAGCTTCGAGGTTTTTCCCTCCTACTCTCAGAATCATGCAAGCTACAGGTCAACGGTGGTGGGCAAGCCAGGTCTTGGCTATGACCTGCCCTGAGCTCGGTGGTTGAAGGGAACATGTCCTGGTCGGGACAGGCCCTATCAAGCTTGTGTTTCTGAGTCCCAAGCGTGAGACAGGAATGGCGGCATCGGGGGCTCCAAGTACGGTGTGTCCATGTTCCTTGCCTTTCTCCCACTCTGAGAACTAGCACGGCAGGTTACATTCTGCCTGCGTAAATCACAACGGCTCTTGGCCGTTGCACCCAGACCAGAGGTCACTCAGCACATAGGGATCTGAGATAAGTTGTGTTTAAGAAAAGATTTTTTTTTTTTTTTTTTTTTTTGCTCCAAGAACTTGTTGTTCACTGGAAGCCATACTTGTAGATACAGGTGCAATGGTTTCAAAGCTGGGCGTGGGTTGTGTGGCTGGGGCTATGGAATATCTGCTTGATTCTGATATGGATTCCGGCAGTCCCAGAGCCCCTCCCAGGGCCCTTCTACACAGGCATTGTGGTGCAGCAAGTTGGGCCACTGCCTGCGATGCTGGCATCCCATGTGACCCACACTTAACGGAGAGCACCTTGCACAGTGTTGGACAGATCGATATATTTAATTCAGGTAACATTAACATTCATCCCTGAAGAAGGGGCCATTGGTAGGAGCATTTTCATTCTACATGTTTAGAAACTGGGCTCCAGAGAGGTAGAGTGGCTTATCCCACATCAAGAGCCAGAAAGGAGCAAAACTTAATTCAAGTCAGGCAGGCTAGGTCTTGGCCCACGCCCCTCACTACTGAGTGATTGACTATCCGTTTGTTGAGGAAAGATGGGCAGACAAGGAGTTTTTGGGATATCAGGGAATTCTGAATTATCTGGACAATGGGTTTAAACTGGTAGCCACTACAACCACTACCACCACCACCATCATAATCATTTTTATTATCATTACCACCACCATAATCATCACTGCCTTCATTATCATCATTGTCATCACCGCCACCACCAACATCATCAACATCGTCAACATCATTGTTATCATCATGTGTACTATGGCCGGACTGTCTTAGGAGACCAGCTCCCATGTCAAGGCTCCATCCAGGCTTGTATATCTTCAACAGCTTCTCAGCTTCTTACTGTTTCTAAAGTAATGATCCACAACTCAAAGAGGGCCTTCAAGGCCTTGCCAGCTCTAGCCTCATGCTTACTGCAGGGCCCTAACCCGTCCTCTTTATCTCCTTTTTCCAACTCCAGGACCTAGGTCCAAGCTATTGCCTTGTCCTCAAAGACTTTGCAGTCAGTGCTGATTCTGCCTTTGGTGCACTGCAGCCTTACCTCACCTCCCCCAGGAAGCCTTTTCTGATTCCACGTTCTGGGTCAGTTTCTATTGAATGGTCCTGTGCCACTGGACTGGTTACTATACTTCTATCAGTACAACTGTTGGGCTCTTGTCCATCCTTTCCACCTGACGGTGCCAAGTGAGGGACACGAACAGCTCGAAATTCAGACTCAGAGTCAGTTTTGGCTTCGATTTTACATCTGTTGTGAAAACTGGACATCTGAGAACACGGCATTTTCTGCAATGAGACGTCCTCTCCTCACCTCTCTGAGACCTTTGCAACATCAAAACAACATGCTCATTTTACAGATGGGAATGCTGACACTTACAAAGAGCTATAACAACATCTCTGAGCTGACAGGTGTCAGAACTCAGAACCACAGGCATGGTTCTGGCATCTCCACTCTCTCCCCACAGCGACGAAGCCCTTCGTTGCCATTCCCTCGTTCTGCTGCTCTTTCTCCTCAGTCCTGAGGGTTGGTTGCATCTGTCTGCCACAAGAGACACGGTGGCTGCTTCCTTCCTGCAACTCAGCAGCGACCTTTGCTCCTACATCCCATAATCAACAGGGAGTGCCTGGATACACCTGAGTGCATGTGCTGGCCCACCTGGGGAGGAGGTATGGACGATCACATCAACCAGGGCTCTCATGCCAGTCCCTGCCCCACCACCCGACTCCCCATGGGAGCTGCCTGCCTCTAACTCCTGGTTCTAAGAGCCAGATCAGTTCTGTCTTTGGGGCTCTGCAAGAAAAGCAAAAACTACAAAAACAAAACCCAATCAACCAACCAACCAACCAAACAAACAAACAAAACAAAGACAAAAACTTTTATGACCCCCTGCCACAAACGCGTAGTTGACATAGTCTGCCTGGCTGATGAAATCAATAAAACCAGAGACTTTCTGCTTTTGGCTCTCCCAGGCACATGTGCTGGGTATGTGAGAGGGGCCTAGGTAGGGGTGCTGCTGAGAGAAGAGGCAGGTGCACTGAAAGTGGGTGGTGAGCAAGCTTGAACCCTCTGCTCAGAGGCATGCCATCTGGGCAGCTGTGCAGAGGAGGCAAGCGACGAAGGTCACTCTGCATGGTTCTGCCTCATGGACAGCTCAGCTGCCGCTCCTCCTTGCATGCAAGAGGATAAGCAGCTAGCTCAAGGGAAATTTTCCATTCTTTCTCTCCTCCACATAAAACTAAGGTAGGGTTATTTTTCCCACCTGCCAAACTCAAGGGAAAACTTCCCATTCCACCTGACAGGCTGGGCCATTCACGGTGGATCAGAGATGGAAGGGGCCGTGGAGACCACTTTGTCAGCCTCCTCCCTGGAGGAACAAGCTCCTGTCCCATAGTCTCCCACCTAGTCCACCACAGCACCCTCCGGGATCCAGGTTAATAGAATGCCCAGCTGGATGTAAAGCTGCCCAGATGCCCGCTCCAGCCTGCCCATGCTTGTCCAAAGCTCTCTAGCTACTCTGCCAGGCAGTTCTCATGTGTACTTACCTGGTCCTGGAGTGGCATTCTGGGTGGGAGCTGGCTGCTGCCCACAGGCCCCAGGCTTACAGGCATCTGTGTAGGCCAGGCTATAAGTCCAGTTCCTCGAGAGGCACATAGATGTTGAAGGTGTACCAGGCAAGCCAGAAGAGCAGGCTGAGAGCCAGGATGAGGGACCCTGTGTAGACCAAGAAGTCCCAGTAGTTTAACGTGGCGAAGATCCCCACCAGCAGAAGGACTAGGCCAGCGGCATCGCTCAGCAGGGCCAAGACAAGGAGTGACGCGCACCGTCCTGGTGGCTGGCATCTTCCACAGGGCCTGCTCAGGAGCATTGCCCGGGAGGAGCGGGGAGGAACCCGGCCGCCCTCCCGGGGCTGATTTGCATGGGGCTGGGGCAGTCCTGCTTGTGCGGCTTGCTGCTGCCTTCTGGCCCTGCTGGGTGTGTGTGCAAATGAGTGAGCCACAAGGAAGTACACGTGGGTCCACCTTTATGAGCCTGGCAGCCAGTGGGGCAGGATATTTTTTAACTGTTTCATGGCTGTGGAATGAGATTGACAGCACCGGCGTGAAGTTACCGTGAGTTGGAATGAGCTCCTCACTGGCTGTGCGGCAGAGAAGGTGGGCTGCACTGGATGGATTTGCCAAGGACAGAAGTCCGATGACCCTGGAGGAGGGACTGTCCGATGACCCTGGAGGAGGTAGCATCCAGACAGCCTGACTGCCTTGTGTCTTGCATCTCCCAAGGCTATTTCTGATGGGGAGTGAAGGACCAGGATGGGTTGTGACATGGAGCGTTAAGCCACCACCTGCAAAGCTGGCCTCCCTAATGAGCACAGGTTTGGGTCCGGCACGGTGGCCTAGCGGCTAAAGTCCTCACCTTGAATGCACCGGGATCCCATATGGGTGCCGGTTCTAATCCCAGCAGCCCCGCTCCCCATTCAGCTCCCTGGGAAAGCAGTCAAGGATGGCCCAAAGTCTTGGGACCCTGTATCCATGTGGGAGACCCGGAGGAGATTCCTGGTTCCTGGCTTCGGATTGGTGCAGCACCGGCTGTTGCGCTCACTTGGGGAGTGAATCATCGGACGGAAGATCTTCTATACATCTTTTAAAAAATGAGCACAGGTTTGTCTCTCAGGTCATCTCGACTTCCTGGCCATTTGAGGAGTGAGCCAGCAGGTGGAAGACTCTCTCTCTCTCTCTCTCTCTCTCATTCTGCCTTTCAAATGAAGAACGCAAGTACAACAGCAGCTGAAAGGTCTCTTTACCATCTTTTGGCTTCTGGTCCTAGCATTGTCTGCACTCTCAAAGTTTGATTGAGAAGTAAATGCCTCATGTAGATGGCTGTCATGCCAGGGACACCAGACAGCAGGAAGACACCGAGCTGGCCTTGGCTGGCCATCCTGGCTATTCACAGCCAAGGAGCTTACGTCTCGGTGGACAGGACAAGCCAAGTGGTCTATCGCATACTGCGAAATGGAGCTCCAGTATCACAGGGCAGCATGACCTGTGCCTGGCAGCAGGGAGCAAGAGCAAGTTGAGAATCTACAGAGCCAACTGCCGCTCTATGGGAGGGAACAGTGACTCATCCTGAACACGAACATGAGCTCAACGAGAAATGACAAAAACAGGGAAATGGTGGCAAGCATGTCCTCACTGCCCTGCAGACCGCTCTCCGAGCCGTGAGAACCCCTGAGGAGGGCACGGCCGGGTGCCCTGCCCTGGCCCAGGCGGGCTTCCGGGTTGGCGCACCTGGGACCCTGGGGCCCTGCTCCTGTCTCCTCCGGGTTGATGGAGGGACTGAGGCCACCGCTGTGGCTCAGAGATGTCAGTGCTGCTCCCATCCTACGGCTTTTGCGAAGTTGCTGTCGTTTGTCACCTCCCTGTGACGTCACAGGATGACAGCCTCTCCGTGACCTGTATGCTCAAGAGCAGGCTGAGGCTTGAGGCAGGGCTGGGCCAGCCAGACGCTCAGCTGACGCAGTGTCATTGCTCCCACACCTGACTCTGAATGACCAAGGCCCAGTCACCTCCTGGGTGGCAGTGCTCAGAGGCTGGGCGGGGCCACCCATCCACTAGGCCTCTCTCTCTTTCCTAATATAGAACACAGGAGAGTGTCAGGCGGTGCCACTCATAGGCTGTGTGACTTCCAGCAAGCCAATCACCCTCTCTGTGCCTCCTTTTCCCCCACTGTGACAGCATCTGTATGCCGCTGGGTTACTGGGAGGTTTCCTTGTTCCTTTGGGTAAAGCCCTTAGGAGCTGCAGTGTATACACACAGACATGTGTCCCTGCTGTGGTTGTCACCTGTTGCCTGGATGCTTCATTGGGAAATCCCCAGGGAGGAAGGGATTTGTCCCTGGGTCTCACACACCTGTGTTTCTCCCCTTCCCCAGCCTTGGGTGCAGCTACGCACCCTGCGGCCTTCCTGCGTCCTCCGCATGTGCTGGGAACACAAGGACACACAGAGCCGTTTCTCTCTGCTGAGGCAGTTTCCTCTAAGCGCACATTTTTTTTTTTATAAAAAAACCAATTCCATCCATGTTCATCAACTATCAATGATGAAAAAACTATGTGACTTCAAATACAGAATGTTTAATATTGTAAAGGTACGTCGAAAGGCCCATGGATGGGGCCAGCCTTGTGGGGCAGGGGTTTAAGCTGCCATTTCCGGTGCCAGTATCGCAAATGAGTGCCCATTGGAGCTCTGGTTGTTCCTCTTCTAATCCAGCTGCCAGCGAATGTGCCTGGGGGAGCAGTGGAGAACGGCCCAAGTGCTAGGGCCCCTGCGCCCCCATGGGAGGCTCGAATGGAGTTCCAGGCTTCTAAACTCTGCCTGGTCCCCTGAGCCCCAGCTGTTGTAGCCATTCGGAGAGTCTTCTCTCTGTATCTCCCTCTCTGTAAATCTTCCAGTCAAATAAATAAATCTTCTTAAAAAGTCCAGGAAATGTATATTATTTTTTAAAAAGGCTATACATTGTTTTCCAGAAAAATTTTAACACTAAAGTTACTTATATTTCAATTCCATTTTCCATGAACTTAAAAAAATTCTCTCATATGTAAATGGATAATGAGATAATGTGATTAAGCCAGACTGGGGTCCCTAAATTCTTTCTGAATCAGGTCAGATAGTAAACATTTGGAACTTTGCAGGTTGACCACGTGGTCACTCTGTTAAAACGCTTAGCTCTGCTATCATAAGGAGACACAAGTAAGTGTGTATAGTGCCTGGCTCAATAGCTCAGTGGCTAAATCCTCACCTTGCACGTGCCAGGATTCCACATGGGTGCTGGTTCAAATCCCGGCTGCTCCACTTCCCATTCAGCTCTCTGTGATCTGGGAAAGCAGTAGAGGATGGCCCAAAGCCTTGATGTTGTGATCTTAGGCAGTTGGTTCAGGGTCACGAGCGTGGAAGCCATGCCTTCCCCACCCACATAATCCTTCCTGCCCACCCGTGAGGCTCACCTGTCATCACCAGGGACCTGAGGGGGGTGGTATTGCATTGTTGTGTAACCACACCCCTCACCAGCCCCCATAAAGGCGCATAGTAGGGAGGGACTCACTCTCTTGGTCACGTGCGTCCATCGCTCTGGCACTCTGGCTCTTGGCCTACTTGTTTTCTAGCTTCCCATCAGACTCAGAGGAGAGGTAGACCCTGAACATGACCCTGTTCACTGCTTGGGCAAGTCCATGACGATGCAAATGCTAAGATGCTCTGTATTTCTGATGTGTGCACTTTCAAGTGTCCCAGGAGAGGTGAGGCCCAGCAGTAATGGAATATGAACAAAGAAGCCAGGAAAAGGTGAATGTTTGCAGCTTTCTAAGTGTGTCCAGGTTGTTGCTGTTATGTATCTTGGGATAACTTATTTTGCTGGGGAAGCAGGGACATAGGTCTTCAGTTTAATGGTTGGACTTCAGGGTAATGACCGTTTGTTCCTCTCGGGGGTTTTAACTCAGACTGGATTGCCACTGGACTTGTCACCTGCTAATTTCTAGTGGGCCCTGTGATCACCAAGCTTGGTTAATAAAGACTCCTTAATGCATCCTAGACGCGTCTGGCGTGAGCCCTCTCACACCCCAAAACATTGAGATCTTGCACCCATGTGGGAGGCTGGGAAGAAGCTCCTGGCTTCTGGCTTCAGCTCAGCTCAGCTCCAGCCACTGCAGCCACTTGGGGAGTGAACCAGTGATGGAAGATCTTTCTGTTTCTTCTTCACTCTGTAAATCTTCCCTCCCAATAAAAATAAATAAATCTTTAAAAAAAGTGTATGTGCAAGCGAGTGTGGCTGTTTCAATAAAGCTTTATTAGCAAGACCAGGCAGCAAGGGGCCGGTTTTGTACTAAGCAGAAGCCTGTTCTCTCAGATAAAGGCTTATGAGTTCCAGATGTTAGAGCGGTTGATAGTGTTAAAGCTTCAATCGAAAACTGCACCAGGAAACTCATCCAAAAGACACAGAGGCAAACGGCCTTGCCTGGGTGAACCTGTGAGCCAGCTGCAGTCACCGCCTGTGCCCACAGGGTGGCGCGCCAGCATCTGGAACCCAGACTTCCTGGTCCGGGATCACCATGGACTTCTTTGTCCAACGCTGGGACCTAGGGACGTTGTCTTTAAACATACACTCACTCCCCTCACCGCCCCAAAAGATTGATTTTTTTAAATTATTTGAGAGAAAGAGGAGAGACACAGATCTTTGACGCTCCAAAGGGCTGTAAAGGCCATCGCTGGATCTATCCAAAGCCCGGGTCCAGGAGCTCCTTTTGGGTCTCCCACACCGGTGCAGGGGCCCCAGCACTTGGGTAATCCTCCACTGCTTTCCCAGGCGCCTTAGCAGGAAGCTGGATTGGAACACCACCTGCATATGAGATGCTGACTTTGCAAACAATGGCCTAACTTGTTGCACCACCACGGTAGCCTCTGTACTCATTCTGTCTCTGTGAATTGGAGCACCCCAGGGAGGTCACACAAACTGCCCTTTCCTAACTGGCTCATTTCACTTTGCAGAACCGCCCCAGGGCTCACCCATGTGGTGGTGGGGATGGTGGTGGCAGGATTCCCTTCCTTTTTAAGGTCGAAGGCTTTATATGTTGTGTGCTTACACCATATTTTGTGTGTCCATGCACCTGTCGGTGGACACTTGGGTAGTCTCCACATTTGGAATATTCTGAATAACGCTACCATGCACATGAGTGTACAGCTGTCTAGTTGCTACTCTTGATTCTTTCCATTACATGCCCAGAAGTGGAATTACTGGATTGTACGTATGTAGCTGTTTCTATCTTTACTTTTTTGAAGGGTCTAATTTTGTTGCCATCATGAAAGCTTCTCATCTCTTTAC